AGAGAGCTGTATATAGAACTTGTTTCTAAGTACTTTTTGAGAGAGAAAAAATGATAATAATTTCAGCTACTTAAAAAATAAAAGGTGGCTAATGTAATGTATTTGGTTCTAAAACGACTAGGAGATCTGCATATCTTAACATCAGCTTTGGAGGTCTATAATGTTGGCAAGAGACCTCTTGATTACAGGATGATCTTAGAATAGAGGCTGGCGAACTCCACCCAACCTTCTTGCCAGGGCTCTGGATTTATGGATCCACCCATGAACCAAGACATTCTCGCAGCTGTATGTCTCTATGTGTTCCTGTCATAGCAAACCAATAAAAAAGACAAGCCTGCAGTGAGATCTCTCATACACTGGCCAGAGGATGGAGAAGAAAAGTTTTCTACTTTTTTTTTTTGAGACGGAGTCTCGCTCTGTCACCCAGGCTGGAGTGCGGTGGCACAATCTCGACTCACTATGAGCCCTGTTATTTAGCGCATTGCGTTGTTCATTCAACATGTATTTATTGAGTACTCACAGGTACCAGGCATGATGTTAGGCAGTGCCTACCTTGTTGGGAGACAATTCTCCAAGGGTCTCTTGCATTTTTCACATCCTGAGTGAGGCAGGAACTGCACTGTGTTCTTGACTACATTTTCCAGACTGTTTGTGTGTTAAACAGACTTGGAAGACCAAGTAGTAGCTCCATCCAGTGCAAAAGGCAGGCATTTTACTGCCCATTATGAGATTCTCATTTTCTTGGTTCAAGGTTTCTCTTCTGGAACTCAACCCACCATATGGATAAACGTCCTATGTAACTTGGAGATGTAACTTGGAGATGAGGAGATGTCATTCAAATATGCTGATGTCATACTGCTTGCTGGGCTGTACGTGCCTTTGTCTCTGACCCAGGAATCTCATCTATGTCAGCATCTATGAAACTGGTGTAGGCCAAATTGCTCACTTAAAAGCAGGGCAAAACCTCAGACCCTTCACAGTTCTTGGCAAGCTTATATCCTCATTTAAATTACTATTCAAAACATGAAAATGCAAATATTTTGGCCATGATGTTACTGGTAAGGATCCTGGAGCACGGAAAATTAAGTAACTCTTCCTAGGTCACACAGAGCTAGTTAAGTGTCTGAGATAAGATTTTTGTCCAAGTCTGTCCAATTCCAGAGCCACTCTCTTTTCATAACATCGTGCTGACATGCTAAATTGCAAACATTAAAATGCCTGTAGTTCCACTTGTGGCACTGGGCCAGTTAAAATCCTGTTGGCCCCTAAATCATTCCCGTTGCTACGATGATAAAAATATTTAGGTAAGGAATGAAAACAATTGAGCAGCTTCTCTCCAGGGGGGACAAAAAGATAAAATCATGAAGGGGAGTTCCTCCCATTAAAAAAGAAGAGAAAATTCTCTTTAATATTTACGTAACAGTTGGCTCAAAGCCTTGACCTCCTACTGCCTCTTCTGGGGAATGGATGAGATCCATCTCTCTCCAGGCAGGATGGGCCGAGTCATGTGAAACTCAGACTAAACAATGGGGCAGCTGGAGCAGCGAGTGAGCCCCAGGGTGGGGAGGCCTCCAGCTCCTCGGGCAGGGTCTGAGCCTTGCTAGACCTTTTGAAGCCCCTTTGTGAATTTCCATGGTGCATTTTTATCTTTTGTCTTGTTTAATTTGATCATTATCTTATCCGTATGATAGAGACTGACCTATTCCTTCAGTGACTCTTTATTACCTATGCAACAGAATCCAAATTTCTTAGCTTGGGACCAAAGCCGCTCTATGGTCAAGCCCTTATATACTGTGTAACTGGCCCAAGCCTCCCTTCCTCTCTAAAGCCTTTCCTGAGTCCATCTCACTCGCAAGATGGAACTGATCTCTAATCTCCTTAGTGTTTTAAATTGATTTGTATCACTACTCTCTCAGCATCCATAATACTTTAGGGCTTATATACATTTACATGTTTATCTTCTCCCCTAAGCCATGGACCCCTGAAGGCAGAGGCTGCTATATTCAGCTGTGTAATTCCAAAACTTACATGGTACCTAATAAATGTTTGTGGATTACAGCAGTATACTCAGACACACACACATATGTATTACCTATCTGTCTCTGGATCTGAAATTTAATCACTAAATACTCTTAGTTTGGGAACGAGCACTTTGAAGAAGCACAAATCATCTAAGAAAGGTTGGTAGGGAAGCTTTGGCTTGATGTAATCTAGATGGTCACTTTCCTTTTCATAAGAGTGGCCTGGGTGCAAGTGTCCTGGGTGCTGGAAGTGTGGATGAGTAGTGACCGGGCTGGCAGCACTTGCTATCTCTATAAGCTAATCGTCCCACCAAAAGCAGGCTCCACTGCATCATCTCTCCCCAGCACGAGGAGTGACCTCTCAACCAGGCCAGCTCTGACTGGGGATGGGGATGCTGGCAGAGGTGCCTAGGCCATCACTGTTCAGGGCCACTGGGTGGCAGAGACCTGGCTGAGGATTCTCTGATCCCAGCACTGGTAAGTCATGCCAGCGTCCATGAGTATTGATGCCACCTGCTCTGCTCCCTGGGGAGCTCCTGCTGACTCATCTCAACCTGCTGAAGGGAGGCCAGACAGGCCTGGGTTAAATGGTTCCTCTGCCATTAGCAGCTGTGAGACCTCCAGCAAAGCTCACTGACCCTTCTGAGCCTCAATTTCTACAGATCTAAAGGGAGGATAAGGATATCCACTTGCCAGGATTATTTCGAGGATTAAAGGAGGCTTATGTGCAAAGAAGCTGGGATTTTCTACAGACAGAGCTCTGTGCCTTTCCCTCTTCTTCCAGCCCTTCTCTGCCCCATCCCCTCTCTTCCTTTCCTCTCCTCTTTCTTCCTTCTTAACGGTTTTTTTGACTCTTTGGTATGTGCAAATTTGTGCGTTATTTACCACAACCAACATCGGTTGCAGGCATGCTGCAGAATGACTTAGTGCATTGCTGGAGGAAGGATCAAAGATTTAAAAACCTGGTCCCTAATCTAAGAGAGCATTATTAATTGCCCACCAGTGTCCACTGGTGTGCACTCTCTCTGTGTGTGTGTGCATGATCTCTTGAAGTTGTCCTGCTCTCTGGTGTGGCCGTCTGGCCTCTGCAGTTAGCCTGTGACAGCTCCCTCCTTGTGGCATCCGAGCTAGGCCACCTGGGACAACCCAGCTCTGCAACTTCCGTGTCATCACTACTGCTGCTGAGCCTGATTCTGGCTGGGTCTGGGGACCCAGTGGACTGGGAATAGACTGTGTTTCAATTGTTTTCCAGGACACTGTGCAGGCAAAAGAGTGAGGATAAAAGGAGGTGAGGAAGGGGAGGTGAGTGGCCAGAGAGTCAAGCTTAGTATAGACAGCTCCTGGGTCCAGTGAGGGAGAAAGGAATGAGTTACCGTCATCCTTCCCCCACATAGGCACCTGCTGTCTAGGAGGCCTGGAGAGCCCCGGGTTCATCCTCTTCTGGAGACTTTTCACCCCAATGCATGTCTATGTGTAGGTTCTGGTGCCTCCTCTGTGCTCCCCGGACAGTGATCTGTGCTCCCAAACCTGGAAGATATGGGTGCTCAAAAACCGGAAATGGCATTGCCACAGGAAGGGATGTTAGAATCGTTTACCTGAGTGTTTCCAAAATGTGCTCCGAGGACCAATTGGTCCATGAGCTCCTAGCAGGTATCCTGTGGGCAAATGGGGTCTTTGGGTCAACACGCCCGGGAAAGGTTGTGTGCACTGCTCCCCTCCCACCAGAGCCAGCATCCACACTGGGCCAGTGAAGACGCTGAGGAACCTGCACTGCTTTCACTTTGCACGATACATCGTCTTCTAAACTGAGTTGCGCATATTTGTTGGGATTGTTTATTGCCATCTTTGCCACGCTGCTGTTCTGAAGATCAGTGTTGGCCATGCAGATACAGTCAAGCCCTTTGTTTCGTAGATGAAGGCCTGCGAGCTTGGGTGACCAGGGAAAGTTCTCACTTTTGGACCAGGCTTCTGCCGTCGCTGCTTCTGTGAGCTCCCAGCTCATCTCCCCCACCACGGCCCCAGGACTGCCAGCTCCTCTGGCAGGTGGACCTCCCACTGAGCTCGCATCCCCATAATCCTCCCAGAGAGATCTTTGGGACCTTGCTGCCAACCCCTAGGTGGAGATGGTGCAGCCTCAAGAAGCCGCAGCCCCAGGGAGTACCTAGGTGACCCCAGCACCTGGCGTGCAGTCTTTAACCTCACAGCTGCTGGTCCTTGGAGTGACAGCTGAGCTGTTGGGAATCTTGGAAAAACTCGCCTGGAAGGGGTTGGTTAACCAGTTCATCTCTTTCTGTTACTCTGTTATTTTGAATTATGGCTACTCCTTAGGAAGTGTGCAGAAGTAGTGCAACGTGGAATGTTTGTTTACCGCTGCACGCAGTTGTTGACGCTGGAAGATAGGGAGGTCTGAGCACTTGACCCTCAACGCTTGGAGTCAAGCACAACAGAGGTGCCATTATCAGCAACATTTCCACATAAGGGAGGAGAACACGGAGGCCAGAGGGGTCAACCAAGTTGTTCAAGGTCCTGGGACCAGGAAAGGGGAGCTGGGACCCAAAGCCAGGGAGTAGAGCTGTGCACCATGGGGGTATCATAGTCACTGTGACTGGAAGGACGAGATTCACTCATATTTTTGGATCAGGTCCATTTGTTCTAATACTGCACCTTGGAAAATCAACACTTCAGCCGGTGCCCTGGCTGCTGGGACAGGCTATTTCTAGAGGGACATTTCACCCTTCCTTTTGTTTCATGCAGCTGGTGCTCCTGTAGGGAAAGGAAAGCTGCTCACTGTCCTTCCTCCCTTGGCAGGCTTGGGAGCCGCCTGTACTGGCTGTGCTCTCTGAGAACTGGCCCGGACAGGAGCCAGAAACGAACTGTCCAGGCCCCGTCAGAGAACATAACATTGCACAGGTGAAAAGCAAGCCCTGGGTGGCGTTTATCTTTCCCCAGACAACTACAGTAATACTGTTGGACTCTGAATGCTCGGTTACATTTCAAATTTATTTCCAATCGTTTTGAGCTGGATCAATGGGAGACAAAGGTACCTTTTAGCTCCGGCACCTGCTGTTCCCCCCAAATGTCAAGGACTGACATTTGATGCCATTATCCCCAGTCAGCACACAGATGACTTATTTCCTTGCTTCCCCAGCCCCCGGGTACCCCGGCACCCCCTCTCCCTCAACAAGGACTTTCTTGCCAGTGAGCTGATACCGTCCTGCACTACCCAGGGGGCCCCGTGTGCCCAGATTTTCTCCCACCTCCGCGAAGCAAAAGGTGACCTCTGGGGTGGCCACCGCCTCCCTGGGTCCCTGGGAGAGGCCTCTTGCAGCGCGAGTCCTCCTCCGTTCCTCCCTGGGCAGGTACCTAGTGTTTTCAGGTGCCTATCTCGGGAAGGAGCAAGTGCTGTCTCTCTTTCCGCCTGGTGGTATCAGTAGGGGTGCTGCTGGGCGATGGGGTATGTTTTTCCCGATGGAGCTGGAGGAGGCATTCAGGGAAGTGAAGTCTGTTGTCCCTCAAATAAAGTACTCCTTTCTGCTATTGTCACCAGCATCTTGGAGGGCAGGGTCGCCCTGCAGGGCTGCATCTGCACTCTCAGCAAACTCCGTGCCCTTGGCCTCATTGGTGTGGTACGTGCCCTTGTGCCGGTACATGTAGTGCAGCAAGACGAAGAGGAGGCAGACTAGGACGATGACCACAACAGCAATCACGACTGCAGGTGGGAAGAGGTGCAAGGGTCAGTCTGAGGCAGAGGCCCTGGGATCTGGGATGGGGGTCAAGACCCACAGGGGTTGTGTGAGGACAGATATGCTGCCACAACCAAAACAGGTGCTCCTTGATTTATGATGGGGGCCAGGTTCCTGTAAGCCCATAATAAGTTAAAAATACTGTAAACGAAAATTACATTTAATACTCCAAACCTACTGAGCATCAAAGCCTGGCCTAGCCTACCTTAAGCAGACTCAGAACACTTACATTAATCTAAAGTTGTGCAAAATCATCTGACCCATATTTTATAATGTAGTGCATCATACTATGTATTGCCAGCCTGGGAAATGGTCTAAGTTCAAAATTCAAAGTATGGTTCCTACTGAATGCATTTGCGTTCATGACACTGCAAACTCAAGAACTCATAAGTTGAACGATTGTACATCGGAGACAACTGTGCCAACGCCAGACAGGCCAGTTCATTCCTTCCCCATGCTTCACCAGCCTGTTGTGTGCTGGCCCTGTAACCTGTGCCTTCCTAAAATGATCCTCCTCTCCCCTTCTCTCGTCTCCTTCCTTCTCTCCCTCCTCTTTTTCTTCCCCACAATTCTGCTACTAAGCATTCTGCAGACAGTCTAGAATCATACCCCAGGACTGAACTTTGTTTGGATATTTTTAATTATAAAACCAGGAAAGTCCCAGAAAACAGGGCAGAGCTGGTTGCTCTATGTACACTATACAGGGGGAAAAAAGATGAGGCTATTAACTGTGCTTGGGACAGGTTGTGTGGTTTGTGTTTTTCAATGGCCTGATGGCTGCTCCTCACCCTACCCTGCTCCCATTCCCTCCTGGGGAGTGAGGACTGCAGAGAACCTGCAGGAGGAGCAGGACTTGGCCACACAAAGGACTGAAGTGGGAGAGGGTAATGCAGAGGATGGCAAGGTGCTGGCTATGTGTGGGTGGGGGAGCAGTCACCCCTCACTTCTGCTGGGACTCCAGAGGGATGGGGAAGTACAGTATGAGGTGACTGAGGAGGGGTCAGATCACTCAGGGCCTTGAGAGTGATAGAGCAGCAGTCTCATGGGGCAGGGCTGTTTTGAGTTTGGGCATTTACTTTGAAGCTGCAGAACAGGTCTCTGACTTTTCTTAGAATGCAGGTTTATTTGGAGGCCTTGGGGAGGGACTGCTGAAGAACATGGAAAGTCTGAAACTGCTCCCAAGTCCCACCTTTATAGAACAATTTCCTAAACTTCCTACTGCCTTCAGGGGAACACTTGTGTCTGCATAATGTTAATAATACCATCTAATTAGCCGGGTGTGGTGGTGGGCACCTGTAGTCCCAGCTACTCAGGAGGCTGAGGCAGGAGAATGGC